TGGAACGAGTCAGGAGAGGACTCCGATGGACCCAGCTCTGTTTGTGTGCTCACTTCTTGGACCAAGCGCCATCCTGGGGCTGGGGCTCAGTGAGTGGCCGAGCTTGGGTCCCATGTGTCTGAAGGACACGGCCTGGTACCAGCAGGGGACGAGGGGGTCCGGTGGGGGTTGCCAGGTTCCAGCTGAGTGGCCATCCCACTTGGGTGTGCCACTCTGCCGTGGCTGGATTTATGAGCCAAAGTCTCAGTCCCTATTTTTGGAATAACAGGATAAAAAACAACTGCTTCAAACTCCCAAAATGGTAACTTTCCAGAGGTGTGGCCTAATCACTGGGTCTATGTGAAGACGTAAGCATACTAAGCCTGAATCTCTGAGAGGAATCCCGCCTTCTCACTGCGACACACTCTCGAGCCAGAATCCAGCCGTGGAGGCAGCAGACAGGTGGGCTGACCGTCCTGGTTTTATTTTCTCCCCTGGATGCCGTTCTTAAGAATAAGGTTCATGAAAATGAGTTGATGGGGCTGCAAACAAGGCTCACACTCACAGGACATACGGCTATTTTTCTGACCTTGTCCCATCTAGACACACAGGGCTCCCCCCTCACCCTGTCCAACGTCTTCCGATGGGAAGATTTGGAGCTCAAGTGTGGTTTACTTGCCCCAAATACCTCCCAGATAAATATTCTGGAGTTCTTGGGGGTGCCCGTCTCCCAGGTTCAGCGAGAGGAGCCTCGGGGGCACACACTTACTCCAGCTTCATCCCGGCACCTTGTCCCCACGTGTTTGCAAAGCTGATGGAAGCGAGCAGCAAAGCAGGCCTAGGCTCTAGCTCCTAAAAACTCCGTGGATTTGATTTGATTTCAACCAGGACAGTTAACATTTACCTAACGTTTACATTTTAAATAATCACTTCGTTGACCGCGTCATTCACCCACGGCACATTTAAAAGCATTTTCTGGGCCGGCTGAGTGGCACATTGGTTAAGAGGTGGCTTGGGACGCCAGAGGGCCCCGGTTCAGATCCCACATATGAGGGCCAGTGACACTGCCCTCCACAGCTAAGATGCTGAACAACAGCTCAACCTGGAGCTGGGCTGCCATGAGTCGCTGGCGCAATGGCGTAGGCTGCAGCCCCCATGGCAGTGGGTTGCCATGGGCTACCGTGTGTAGCCAGCAGCCAGCGTGAGCGGTCAGCAGCCGCTGTGAGCGGCCGTCCAGAAGCCGGCAGATGCCTTGCCTGGGGAGAGCGCAATGATGGTGCCAACTTGGACCAGTGAAGCAACGTCCTCCACAACTAGACTGAAGAACAAAAACAACAGCAACTTGTCTGTTCCTCTTCCCCCAATTCCCCAGCGCTGTTCTCATCCCCCAATTCCCCAATAAAAATCTTTTAAAAAAAAGCATTTTCTGGGGCCATTTGGGAAAAAACATAGGCTTGGTAGTCAGCCTGACGGGGTGCAAGTTCCAGCTCTGACTTCAGTTTTCTCGTCTGTAAAACGAGGTCTTAAGACCTGCCGCACGTCTAGCACGTAGGTGGTGCTCAATAAACAGCGTGGCGCCCAGGATGTCAGAAGAGGAAGCACGCTCAGAGGGGGTCAGCCATTTGTCCAAGGCTGCACAGCCAGGGAGGGCAGATAAGAGTCCCAACCTCCAGTCTCAGGGTCCCAGACCAGGGAAGGGAAGAGTCCTTAGGCAGCTTACAAGGGGGCTTCGGGGGGTCAGGGAGTGGGGGAAATGAGGTCCAAGCCAGAGCTATCCAGGACCTTGAGAGGGAAGGTAATAGAGGCAGGAAGAGAGGCTGGGAGGAATGGAGCCAACATTCTCGCAGCTTCTACAGGCCATGGGTCTGCAGGCCTCCTCTGTCCCCTGCAGTCTCCCTGGGACAGAGTTATGAAACCCACCAGGACCACAGACCCCCCCACACCAAGCCAATCTTTGCCTCCAGGGCAATGGGTGCTTCAGGGTCCCGCCACTTTCCCCCTCAGGACCAACGGTCCCTTCCTGGAGCGTTTCCATTCAGAAAGGTCAGCTCTCCTCCTCCAGAAACCGAAGCTGCCAATCGGCGGCCGAAATCCAGCGCACCTCCTCACAGGGCACTGGAGTTTGAAGTCTGTCGGGCAGAGAGTCCTTTAAGGGGCAGCCAGGCCTCCAACCTGCGAGCCTCAGACCCAGACATGAACCTGGGAAGCCCGTTCCTCTCTCTGGGCCTCAGTTTCCCTATCTGTAAGGTAAAGATGTTGAGTTAGGTGATGCCGGAGACCTCCTTCACACAGGCTGAGACTCCTAAAAGTCCATTTCCATGTCATCTTTCCTACTCCAAAGCCTCTGGTGGCTCCCAGTTCCCTGGGAGTCAACTCCAAGTCCTTAACCTGGCAGGAAAGGCCACCACAGTGGTACCAGTGCCCCTGTCCACTCCACCCACAAAAAGCCTCTGCTACCTGCCCATGCCTAGGCAGTCCTCCCCCTGAGACTGGTGTCCTGCTCTCTCCTCTGGCCCCCAACCCCCTCCCTTCTCCCCTTTCCGAGAACCACCCAGGACAAAGCCTGGAGCCATTCAGACCTGGGTTTGAATTCCAGCTCTCCCTTTTATGAGCTGTGTGGCCTTGGACAAGTTGCTTCACCTCTCTGAGTTTCAGCTTTCTCCACTGAAGGGGTTAGATAAGAGTGGGGCCAGCACAGAGTGGGGGCACCAGGCCTGTGAGCTCGGACGGGCCTCTGATAGGAGACTCTTATAAAACAGACTCAGTTGATGACAGAGAAAGAGTGAGCTATTGAGACCCAGCAGCCTCCCAGTAGAGGTAGTAGCGTGGGACAAAAAGAGTCAGCTCTTAACAAAAGAAACAAAATCATACACAGTATGAGGCAACACATAAGCAGGTGTACCATAGAGTTTAATCTACTGCAGTGGTCTATGTGAACAATTTACAAGAGAACCAGTAGTAATATGTCCCTTCATGGATATGGCGGTCACTGCTTTCGGCATTTGACGACATCCAAAGACTCCAGCATTTTCCTGTGCATGAACCTCTGCATGTGAATGCTTAACTTTGTAAATATGTGAATTTTTTTGTTTAGGTGGGTGCATTTTTCGCTTGCTTCCTGCTCTCGCAGCTTTATTCAATAAACTTGCACTTTGAGGGTTGTGTTGACAATTTCAACTTAAAATGTGCATCATGATGGAAGGTGCTGACTTTTTTGGAAGGGGATGAAAAGAAAGTTACCATGAGCAGGGTCCATCGACCATGAGGAAATCAGCTCTCAAAGAATTGGCTCTGTGGGCTAGTTAAAATAGAAATAAACTTTTAAAGTATAAAACAAAAAGCCAAGGGCCAGCCTAGTGGCTCAGTTGGTTAAGAGCTCGCTCAAGAATTTGAGCTCTGAGCAACAGCAGTTCCAGTCCCGACCCGAGCTGAGCAGCCACTGAGCTGCCAACAGGTGGCAGGATGGCTCAGCTAAAAAAAAAAACAACAAAAAAACAAACCAGTGTGGCTCAGTTGGTTAAGAGTTGGCTTGGGAGCACAAGCTCTGAGCAGCAGGGCCACTGGTTCGGCTCCCACATGGGCCAGTGACACTGTACCCTCTACAGCTAAGATTGTGAACAACAGCTCGACCTGAAACTGGGCTGCCGTGAGCAGCTGTCCAATGGCCAGTGAGCAACTGCCTCACCCAGGAAGAGCGCAATGATAATACCAACATGGGCCAGTGAAGTGGCGTCCTCCACAACTAGGCTGAAGAACAAAAGGACAGCAGCTTGTCTGTTCCCCTTCCTGGATTCCCCAGCGCTGTTCCCCTCCCCCAATTCCCCAATAAAATCTTTAAAAAAAAAAAAAAGTCAGCTCTTGCATGTTTGCACACCCATTTCCTGACAATGAAGGTGAGTCAGCCACCCCACCTGGGGGCAGGGGACACAGAAATGAACCAGACCCGGCCTCTGACCAGGGGGTTCTAGGGGAGGCAACTGGGCAGGTGAGGGTCCCAGAGTGGAGTTGAGGGAGAGGCAGAAGTGCCAGAGCGCCTGGGCCACTGCTGGAGATGCAGCAGAGTGAGCGCTGAAGCGGCGTGACCACGGGCGGGTGGTGTGGGAGAGTGCTGGGCAGAGGAGATCCAGGGACAAAGGCAGGACGGGCAGAGCGGGGCTGTCTGGGTAGCTGAGAGAGGCACAGTGTGGCTGGCTCTGAGAGTGAGCAGGGCACGGAGGCTGGGGGATGTTCTGGAAAGCAGGGTTCACCTCAAAGAGGGCCTGGCAGGCTCGCCAGGCTGTGGGCTTTGCCCAGGGGGCAGCAAGGAGCCACTAATAGATGTGCACGGGGAGTGCCCGGCATCCTGGAAGTGTCTGACTCCACATTGCCCGGTGACCAACAGGAAGTGCCAGGCAGGCTGAGGGAGCCGGGCAGGAGGCGACCACAGCCTTTCGGGAGGGAGAGGTGGGCGGGACTGAGCAGGCGTGGGACATGCCCACCGAGGCTGACAGAGGCTCCCTACAGCTGAGGAAGACCCTCAGCCCCACTCCGTCCCGGCCTGCTTTCAGCCGCACACCTGGCCCTGCTGGCCACCTGCCACGCCGCCTGGCATGACCGTGGGTAACACATGAGAAGGGAAACATCAATGCACATGTAAAACACCCAAGGGTGTGTCACTCCCCGTGTGCACAGCATCGAAAAGCGTGCCCAGAAGACAGAACTCCTCACACGGAGGGTGGGGACTGTCCGTTACTTTCACAGCCACCCTCCCTTCTCTCAGATTGGGGTGATTCCCCAGGTTGCTATAATCAGTAGTGCCTCCGCGGAGGTCAACTCCTTCCTGCAGGGAGTCCTCCAGGTGCATCCCTGAGGTATGGAAGTTCATCTTCCTCTCTGGACTGGCAACTCCTCTGTCTCCTGGCAGCTCCAGGTCCTAATGCTATTCAGGACCCAGAAGCCCAGCCCTCACCCTCTCCAAGGCAGCCTGGCAAGGGGCAGAGGGTCCCCTGTGCACACCCAGCCCCTCAGCGGCCCAACACAGCTTTCCTCTCACCGTGTTTATTGGTTCCCAAGCGCAGCCACTCTCCCAGAGGAGGCTGAGCAGGCTCATATCTTGCGGGCTCCAAAGATAGGGCGGTTCACGTGCTCAGGGGAGGCCAGGAAGGCCTTGAGCTTGGGCCGGGCGCTGAGGCGAGCCACGTAGGCCGAGAGCAGCGGGAAGGAGTCCAGGCAGCCGGGGGCCAGGACCTGGTGCTTCAGCAGCAAGTCCAGCAGGTTGTAGTCCGCGAAGGAGATCTGCGGGGCAGGGGCCGGGATGGCTTGAGTGGGGTCAGGAGAGAGGAACTGCTGGGGCCAGAACTCTGGCTGCTCCAATAAACCAGTCATGGCCCCCACTCTGGGCCTCCGTTTGCCCATCTGAAAAATGGACCCACAATAGGTTGGACCCAGCACACACACCTGGTCACCCACGATGAAGGCCTGGCCTCTTTGGTTCTGGGACAGCAGGGTCTCAAAAGGCTTCAGGTGCACCGGCAGCTCCTGAACATACTGGGCCTTGCCCTCCTCCTGCGAACCAGAGTGATCCCAGTGGTGGCGTGCAGCATGCCTAGCCAGATGACCTCTCCAGCCCCCAGGCCCCCACTCACATAGTTGTGGCGGATGAAGTGGCTACAGAGGTTGCGGAAGTCCTCCAGACCATCGTTCACCATGTCCACCAGCGCCGCCTCCCGCTGGTCTTTGCCGTAGAGCCCTGGGTCAGTGGCCAGGCAACGGGTCAGGCTCTGTTCAGGTTGGTGCCATGCTGCTCCCCGCTCCCCAAGAAGCCCACAGGCCTCAGGCTTGGGCAACCCGGTTCCTTGCTTTAGAGGCCTCGCTGTCCTCAACTCAGTTGCTCCCATCTCATGAGGCCAAGGGGATACACCCCGCTGAAGCCCACACCTGCCTTCTAGGCCACACCCCAGGGAGCTGAGACTCAGGAGTTCCCTGACCAAATGGCCCCAAGCCACCTCCCCCAAATCTGTCGCCCACAAGGATGGACCAAGCCCCTCACACGTGCCTCCCTAGGCCTAAGGAGGGGCCTAGGCTGCTTGAGGGGCTGGACAGAACTTGACTGTGTGGGCAGATGTGTCCACATGCAGTACAAGACAGCACAGGGGCAGGAAAAGGAGGTGACAGGCTGTCTCCATCCTGGGTCGTGCAAAAGCTAGGGTGAGCCTGGGCCTGGCCGTTCCCATTGTTCGTCTGCCTCCTTCCCTAGTTGTCTCACACTCCTGGCACCCAGGGCTTTTCTGCACCACCACCCCAGGCTGGCCAAAATAAAGGCAGCTGTCCCCCTAAGCCATGTTCCTGCCACCCTTGAAACAAGGCCATAGGTCCGCCCTCTGTAAACATGGGTTTTCCAGATTCAGATGAGGCCAGAACAGGAAGAAATGGGCAGGAGGTCTATTTGGAAGCTCCTGGCCATAGCGGCAGTGACCTGCAGTGATGCAGTGACCTCTAGCCTGTCCCAGCAGACAAATGGTTACCAATGGCCTCCTCTAAGCTGTCGTCCACGAAATAGGCAGAGTGAACCCATTTGGCACCACCTGGCTGGGGGCTAGCCTGTACTGCCCCTGCCCAGGTGGACTGGCCGCCCTAGCCCCATGGCCCAAAGCCTTTCTCTAGGGCCATCAGGCCTGCCCTTCAGCCGGGCAGGACTCTGGTGGCTGCAAGCGTAGCAGCTCAGACCTGGGGACATCCTGCTGGGACCACTCAGGTACTTTTCTGGACTGGACAGCCTGTGACCTCAGGACTCACCGAGAGAGCGGCCCAGGTGGCGCAGGATGGCATTGGACTGGTACAGGGTGAAGTCTCCATCCTGGAACTTGGGGAGCTGCCCGTACAGCTGGGGGTGGCACAACTCTGTCAGAGGTGCTGAGCTTGGCTGCCCCCCACAGTCGTTTTGTCCCCCCCAAGGCCCAGCCCCTGACCCCACTGGGCACAAGCACTCACACAGGTCGCCTTGAGAGAGCCCTGCAGCCAAGTCTCCTTGGTCACCACCTCCTCCTTCCAGCTCTGGCCCTGATCAGCCAGCAGCATGCGCATGGCCTCACAGCGCCCTGGGGGTGGGGAGAGAGAGTGTGGGGACAGGCAGAAACCCAGCCTCACAGAGCCCTGGGGAGGGGTCAGAGGGATAGGAAGGGAACCCTAGCCTGGGGAGCTTCTGGGAGAGGAGAGGCCTCAGAGGAAGAATGGAGACCGTGGCCCCAACAGTGTCTTGGAGAGGGGGATGGGAAGGAGGGGAGGACACCCAGCCCCACAGCACCCCAGGAAAGAAAAGCAGAGGAAAAGAGGGGAAAGTTGGCCCATCCCCGCCCCCGGGATCCTTGCCCATGTCCAGAGAGCAGCCTGGACGTCTGGCCTGGGCCCTCCAGAAGGAGCAGAGGCAGCACCTTGGGCGGGGAAGTAGACGATAATGTAGGGCGGCACTAGGAGAGACAAGAAAGGACAATGAAGGACTTCCCGCCTGGCTACAGGGCTCAGGGACAGGCAGCCCGGGGGGGTCAGACCCTCTGGAGAGTCCTGACCAGGTCCAGACCCTACTCACTGGCTGGAGGTGAAGCGCAAGCGCGGCAGGAAGCGGGGAGGATCACAGAGGCCTTATATTTACAGTTCTGCTCCACCCCAGGAACATACCAAGTCACTGGCCTTGGTCCCAGGCAAGGCTCTTTGTGGTCGGGGCAGGACCTGCCAGACTTACCCGCTTATCTGCATGGGTGCACCCTGCCTGCAGGGCAGTGGCTGTACAAGAGGCACCCACACTGGGCATCACACAGCCACTACCCCTCCTCCCTGCCATACCAAACACGCATAACCCCTCAGGGCCCACAGAGGCCAGGACTTGCTCACTGCTGGGTCCCCAGCACCAGCATGCAGTAGGTGCTCAATAAATGTTTGTTGCAAGCGTGAATGCAATTAGACATATCCATTTACATATCCTCCCTCCATGGTAATAATAATAGCAAACCCTTAGGGGCTGACTGTGTTGAGAACTTTACAAATATTACACCCCTAAGACTTGGTGCTGTTCTGAGCCTTGTCTTACAGAGAATGAAACAGAAGCACAGAGAAGTTACGTGGCTTTCCCAGAGTCACACAGCTAGTAAACAAGATTTAAAGCCAGGTCTGGTTAGCTTCAGGGGCCTCACTTTTAACCCTCATTCTTTCTTCCGCATATTGTCTCTCAACCTTTTTTTGACTGAGTCTAATACAGTCTGGACCTGGGGTCGTGGTTGGATGGAAAAGCAGAAACACTAGAACGAACAGAACCTCATGGACCTCAGAGGTCAGTGTCCTTCCAGGCGGAGCCCAGTGCCTGCCTCCCTGCGACCCATCTGGCACCCTTAGCCCAGTTCTCCTCCTGGCTGCCACTTCCCAAGGCAGGGGTGTGGGGGAGGCTCTCCGGCCTGATGTAGCCGGGACGTCTCAGCCCGGTTTTCCTAATAGAGCCACAAGGAAGGAAGGTATCCTGTGCAGGAAGTACGCACCCAAAGCATGGGAAAAAACTCAACACGGCTAATCACCAGCCTCACCAACCTTTAGCCTCATTGGAGCCCACAGCTGCCTGGGGCAGAGAGGGGTTGGGGAGGGGTGCCAGAGCTGAGTTCTATCCCTGATTCACAGCTGGAAGAACATCTGTCCAGCACTTAGCAGCTTACAAAGAGCTTTTGTATAAATGGTCTCATTTCATCTCCACAACACCCTGGGAGGGAGGGAGTCTTGTTCCCATTATACAGCCAAGGACACCAAGGCTCAGAGAGACTCATTCATCTGCTCTGGCCTGGAGTGTGCACACCCCTCCTTTGTGCACAAGCATCACAGACCTGGGAGAATGGAGGACCCCCTGCGTCCAGTGGGCAAGCCTCCTGCAGCTCACAGCCTCCAGCCATCACACTCAGGTCCCCTGGGCAATCTGCCACCTAAGGTGACTTGGCATTATGCTGTGGTGTTCCGGGTGGCTGCTTTTGCCCACAATCCTCCGCTCCACAGGCCCAGCCTGTGGCCTAGCTCTGCGGCCGCCATGGAGCCTGGTGCTCTGGGACCCAGAAACATAGCTTTCCCAGCCCAATTAGCTAGGCACCTTCCCATGTCCAACCCCCACTCCCCGTCCATATACATCAGCACCTGTCTTTGGTGGGTTTTAAAATAGATATAAACTGCTTTATTGCTATATAAAATTCACCCTTATAAAGTGTACATTCTGTAATTTTTAGTATATTCAGTGTTGTGCAATCATCACCACTATCTAATTCCAGAACATTTTCATCATCTCAAAAAGAAACCCTGTAGGGCCGGCTGAGTGGCGCAATGGTTAAGAACTGGCTTGGGATGCCAGAGGGCCCTGGTTCGGATCCCACATATGAGGGCCAGTGACACTGACCTCCACAGCTAAGATGCTGAACAACAGCTCCACCTGGAGCTGGGCTGCCGTGAGTCGCCGGCCACGGCGTAGGCTGCAGTCCCTGTGGCAGTGGGTTGCCATGGGCTACCGTGTGTAGCCAGCAGCCAGCGTGAGCGGCCAGCAGCCGCAGTGAGCGGCCGGCAGCCAGCGTGAGCGGCCAGCAGCCGCAGTGAGCGGCCGTCCAGAAGCCGGCGACTGATCTGCCTCGCCCGGGAAGAGCGCAATGATGGTGCCAACTTGGGCCAGTGAAGCAACATCCTCCACAACTAGACTGAAGAACAAAAGGACAGCAACTTGTCTGTTCCCCTTCCCCCAAATCCCCAGCTCTGTTCCCATCCCCCCAATTTCCCAATAAAATAAAATAAAATAAAGAAAAAAGAAAAAAGAAACCCTGTACCCATTAGGAGTCACTCCTCATCTCCCCTCCCCCCACCCCCTGGCAACCACTAGTCTATTTTGTTGCTATGGATTTGCCTATGGTGGACATTTCATATGAATGAAACCACACAGTATGTGGCCTTTTGTGTCTGGCTGCTTTCACTTAGCATGATGTTTTCAAGGTTCATCCATGTTGCAGCATGTATGAGGAATGGAATCTCTAGGTCATATGGTAACTCATTTTGAGGAACTGCCAAACTCTTCCAAAGTAGCTGCACCATGTTATAAACCCAACAGCAGCGTATAAAGGTTCCAGTTTCACATCCTCACCAGCCATTATTATTCTCTGTCTTTTTGTTTTTTAAAATCAAACAGTAATTCTTTTTTTTTTTTTTTTTTAGATTTTTTTTTATTGGGGAATTGAGGAAGGGGAACAGTGTTGGGGTATTGGGGTCGGGGAACAGCCAAGTTGTTGTCCTTCAATCTTAGTTGTGGAGGGCGCAGCTAGCTCCAAGTCCAGTCGCCATCTGGCGACCCATCAGCAGTTCAGCTCAAGGTGTCATGTTCAATCTTAGTTGCGGCGAGGGGGTGCAGACCACCATCCCATGCTGGAGTCGAACCGGCAACCTTGTTGTTAGGAGCACGTGCTCTCACCAGCAGAGCCATCCTGCCACCTGTTGGCAGCTCAGTGGCAGCTCAGCTCGGGCACAGCTCACTGGCCCATGTGGGAATTGAACCGGTGACCCTGTTGCTCAGAGCTCGTGGTCTTAACCAACTGAGCCACTCGGCTGGGCCTCTCTGTCTTTTTTTACTTTAGCTATCCTAATAAACGTGAAGTGGTATCTCAACATGGCTCTATGTATGGTGCTTACCAGGTGCCGAGTCTGGGTTTAGTTTATGGGGAACAGGGTGGAGAAGGAGCCATCATCTTTGCCATCAGGGGAATCACAGCTCAGAGTGAGGGGAGCTAGATAAACACAAGTCTTCATTCACACATTGATTACTCTGTATCAGGCAATGAGTGGGCTAGACATCATGGGAGACACTGAAATAAGTAAGATCCATATCTAACCTATCTCTACCCTAATGGACTGTTTTAATGAAGAATATAAGGTCTTCATTGGCAGTCCATCTGTCTGTGGATCCATCTATATATCCGTCTATCTAATCACCCATCTATCCTGCAACTGAATATTCAACCAGCAGTCCATCAAAACATCCACTTATCCATATTTATCCACTCATTCATCCAACTACCCACCCAATCAACCCGTCTCTCCATCCATCTTTTTACCCATTCATCTATCCATCCATTCAACCATCCACCCAACCTTCTATGTAATCATGCATCCATCCATCTACCAAGCATTTAACCACTAGCCCATCCAATCATCTACACATCCTTCCATCCAGTCAGTCATCCACCACGCATCCATCCATTCATCCATTTATCCACCTGTCCATTTATCCATCCAACTTTCCATCTACCCACCCAATTATCCAACCACCTGTCCATCCATCCAACCACTTGTCCATCCTTCTTTCCATTTACTCAATCATCCATCCTTCCAACTACCAACCATTCAAACATCAATCCATCAAATCATCCATCCGTCCATCCATCCATCCAGCCAACCACCCACATATCCACCCTCCTATCCACCCATCCACCCATATGTCAACCACTGATCCATCTGGACATCTGGACACTAGAGCAGAGATCCCAGCTTGGCTAAGTCAGGATATGCAAGTCAAGGGCCCCATGATGAATGTCCTAAGATGCTGTTCATTGAACACAAGCCAGGAAAAATTCCCAAGCCAGGCTTTGTTCACCTAGACACAAAGGCCTTTGCTCCTTGCTTGAAAACACTTCTACTCACTATATTCTAACCAGTTATAGCTCCCACTACTTTGGCTTATACTTTGGGACACACGTTTCTCACCACTTCCCATCTTCTTAGGTGGTTATTTGGACATGAAATCAGTCATCACATGTGGCATCTATCATTTTTTGAGCCCTTCCTATGTGCCAGGAACCTGCTAGGTCCTCCTTTATCATTTAGTTTTCACGAAGGCACCACGAGGCAGATACTAAGTCAACCCCATTTTTCAGATAAGGAAACTGAGGCTTGAAGAGATGAAATACCTTGTCTGTTACACAGACAAGAGTTGGTATGCAGACCCCAACTCTGCAGGTCTTCCCTATGACCTTGCAGAAAATGGGAGAATTCCCGTCTTTGAGGGATGTCTGCCATTCTGCCTGGGATGCAGTGGACTTCTGGCCTTTGGGGGAAGATGTGACCCTGGTGCAAAGGGGCTGAAGGATGCTGAAAGCTGAGCCCCTGAATGGTCAACAAGAATGGTCACAATAGGGCCGGCTGAGTGGCTCATTGGTTAAGAGTTGGCTTGAGAGCGCGAGCTCTGAGCAGCAGGGCTACCGGTTCAGATCCCACATGAGCCAGTAAAGCTGCGCCCTCTATAGCTAAGATGGTGAACAACAGCTCGACCTGGAGCTGGGCTGCCATGAGTCGCTGGTGATGGTTTAGGCTTCAGTGGGGCTGCAGTGGGCTGCCATAAGCTACCATGAGTGGCTGGCAGCCGGTGTGAGCTGCTGTGAGCTGCTGTGAGCGGCCATCCAATGGCCGGCAACCGATCTGCCTCACCTGGGAAAAACGCAATGATCACAATCCAACATGGGCCAGTGAAGCGACATCCTCCACAACTAGACTAAAGAACAAAAGGACAGCAACTTGTCTGTTCCCCTTCCCCCAATTGCCCAGCGCTGTTCCCCTCACCCAATTCCCCAATTTAAAAAAAAAAAAAGGGCCACAATAAGCCCTTCCCTCCCTTGACCACCTGGCCATGTCCACTTGCCTCTGAACCCTGGCCTTTCCTCAGATCTTCAGACCTGCTCAGGGCTTTGTGACAGCTGTTCCCTCTGCCTGCGTGGCCACCTCTCCCTTCATGCTGTCACTCCCACCAGCCCTCTGGTCCTGGCTCACACACCACTTCCACAGCCCCACCCCCACCCTCATCATAGCAAGGTCCCCGCTGGCCTCCATCTCAATAGCCTATTGGGCTTTCCCCTGCACTGACTCCTCCACAGTCTTCCTGGGTGTGTTGAATGTGAATCTCCCGTCAGGTGGAAGTTTCCAGGAGTCAGGGACCGGGTTCCAGCACCAAGAAGGGCACATAGCAGTTGCTCCACAAACATTTGCTGAAGATTCAGGCCCTCTGAAATTTTCTCCAACCTCTTGCCACCCATACACTTTCCAGAGGCTCCTGACCCCTGACTCCCTCCTGAGGGCGCCTCCACCCAACATACCCTGTCGATTCCAGCACGTGGAACACTCCAAGTCCACAGCTGATCCCCACCTGGGACCCCAGCGCTGGCCCAAGACCAAACATAGGTGGGCAATGCCAGCATGTTACCCCATCCCTCATCTCCTCCATGAAGCACCCTGATGCCTGGGTCAGTGCCCCAAGCACTTGGAGACAGTCTGTTGGCCCTTTTCTGAGTTAGAAACGCCTGACAGCAGGACCCTCGGCAGGTAGGGTCTGTCATGTGGCCCCAGCAGCTAGCCCGGGGCCTGGGACACAGCCGGCCTCAGATGTTGGCAAAAGGAATACATGAATGGACAGTTGCGCATGGCCGAGAGCGGCCAGAGGCAGCAGCTCGGGTGACAGGTGGCTGGCGGGATCTGGTTCCTTGGACAAAAGCTGGTGCGGGGGGCAAGTAAATAAACCATGAGCGGCCTGGAGCAGGGCCGGGGCAGGACAACTGACCTCATTCCTGGAGGTGAGGAGCAGGCAGCTAGGTGGTAAGTGGGCTGGGGACATAACAAGGGGGCACGAGAGGCCAGGGGGCTGCCTGGCCCAGACCCACCATTTCCCCCCCGAGAAGCAAGAGGTTGGAGGTCAGCAGAAGCTGGGTGGGAGGTGCTGGCAGGAGTGGAGAGCCCGGGAAGTGCAGAGGTGCCCTGCGGTGGGGAGAAGGGAGGAAGTCTGGGGTTGGGATGGCGGGGCGCCTGTCTTTGTAGAATCCAGAAGCCATCCTGGGGGGAGAACAGAAGAGCAAAGATGGACAGGCAGAAAGACAGATAGAGCAATGTGAGAAAGAGCCCCATACCACAGCGGGAGGGAAGTGACACAGAGACAGGCCTGTGTGGTCAGAGAGACCCACAGACACCGCTGAACAAATGTCAGCAGGGGGCGGGGGCAGAGTGAGGGATTGCAGGTCAGAGGGACACAGAGACACAAAAGGAGGGTGGGGCAGAGAAGGGCAGAGAGAAGGACAGAAATAGAGAAGGGAGTTCAGGGAGTTTCAGAAACGAGGAGCCAGAGAGGCTGGGGGGCCCGGGGTCTGTACAGACGGCCCTGCGGAAGCCCAGGTGCCGCCTGTGGCCAGCATGAAGGTTGGAAGGTGGTGGGCCGGGAAGGCTAGAGTCACGAGGGGCTGTGTGAGGGGAGAGGGGAGCTAGGAAAGATATGGGACCTAGGGGTCCCAGTGCCTTACCGGCCCATGAAGCAAGGAACAAGAAGGAGAGTAGCAGGGCCCCTGTGGGGACAACACCCACAGGTGCCCACTAAGCAACCCTCCCACTAAGCAGGACCAGGGGGACTGGAGTGGGGCCGTGTCCCTCGGCCAGCAGGAGGTGCCAAGCCCTCGTCTCCATGGCCCTTCCCCAGGGCCCAGAAGGTGACAGCCTCCCCACGGGGGACCCCAAGCCCGCGGGGGACCCCAAGCCCGCTGAGGACACTGCAGGGCCCAGCCAGGCCCCTGCCAGCACAGCAGCCACCAGGCGGCGGGCGCTCCTGCAGGAGCTAGAGGCCCAGGTGCAGGCGGCCTACGGGCAGGTAAAGTGGGCAGGGGTGTGGGGCCGTCCTCAAATGAGGGGACCATGAGGGGACAGTGGTGACCCCACACCCCAACTGGGGCCCCGTAACACAGACTCAGGACCGAGCCCCGGGAGGAAACCCCAGACATGCGTGTTGATGGAGGAGTCAGTCGGTCGGTCAGCTGGCATCCCTCCCCACCTCTGCCCTCACTGAGCCCTGTGGCCAGCCCATGGCACCTAGGGTCCGCTCCCTGCAGCATCTTGTCCAAGTACAAGGGCCAGGGCACTGGTGGAGGCCGAGGTGCCAAGAGCAGTCAGGCTGGGCAGGTGCTCTGAGGTGAAAGCCGGGGCCCTGGCAGGAACGGGTAGGGGCTTCCTGGGCTGGGCCGGGGTTGCTCCGCTCTCAGGACAGGCAGTGGGGGCAGGGTCTGCAGAGTTCATACCATCTGCCATTCTGACGGGAAAGACGCCCGAGCCCGCCCTGGCACACCGGGCTCCTGGCTTCCTCCTCCCAGGTCCAGGCCCTGCTTCTGAAGACGTTAAGTCTCCTAGTTGGGAGAGATGAGGGGTGAGGGTTGGGGGAAGAGGGATGCTGGAGAGAGGGTGTCTGGAAGACCCTCAGGGGTGAGCCCAGAGAGGCTGGTCATCCAGGGGGCGTTGGGCCTCAAGTGGCCCCCCTCACAGCAGAGATGCTCAGAGATAATCCCGGATTAGGACCCAAGCCCCTGTGTCCAGGGCTCCCCGCCTGCCCACCCGCCCCCGATCTTCCCCACAACACCCTAGGAAAATCCCCTGCAGTGTTCCCAGACTCACTGGAAGCAGCTGGGTGCTGGCGGGAGTCCGCAGCATCTGCTGAGGCCCTGCCCGAGGCTGTCCCCAGGGCTTCAGGCTTGGCGTGGTTCAGGGGCCCATGGGAAACTGTGCCAAGCGGCCCAGACAGCGGGGCCCTAAGGTAGGAGGGTCAGGGGGAGAAGCCAAGGCCAGGAGCCTGGGCGGGGCCTGGGCAGGGCCAAGTGGGTGGGCAGGGCCTGTGTGAGTGCAGAGCAAGGCTTAGAGGTGGGCACAGCAGTGGGTGGAGGGCTTCGTTCCCTCTGCCCTAGACTGAGATTTTCCCTGGGAGCTCCTGGACACCGGCCCCCTGGTCTTGGCTCTTGTGGACCGCTGGGCTCTCCCCTGCCAAGCTCATCAGGACCCCTAGCTGCCCATCCAGCTGCCCATCCCTGCTCTCTGCTAGCCAGTATTGACCTGGGGGACACAGAGCTTGTGCTCAAGGTCTCACTCTATCACTAGCTCTCTGGATGACCTTAGCTAAGTCCTTTGCCTTTTCTGGGCCTCAATTTACCCAACTGAACAGTATAGGGGTGTACCCTTCAGTCTAGAATGGTAATAGGTGAGGACCCCCATTCTCCTGTGCCGGGTGCCAAAAACAGGGGAAGGTGAGAGGGGCCACTGCCCCAGCTCATGGCGGGCTCTGCTGCAGGACAGCTGGCAGTGGCTCGGTTCCCCCCCCCAGGGGACTCCCGCCACAGCCTGGGCCCCAGCCTCAGCCCCGAGAAGCAGGGGGACCCTGGGCCGGGCGTCCAGGGCTACTCAGTGCTCAACAGCCTGGTGGGGCCCGCCTGCATCTTCCTGCGGCGTAGCATCGCTGCCACCCAGCTCGTATGTATGGCCACCCTCCCACCCACTGCCCTTGCCCCCTCTCTTTGCTTCTCCTTAAGGATGGGGGTGAGGATTGAGTGGGGAGGTCAGTGCAAAGGCACAAAGATCTATGGGAGTTGGGGGACTGAAAAAGACCCAGAGAAAAGTCAGAGACAGCCACCCAGGGAATGGGCAGGGAGGGAGCAGGGTCCCCAGGAGAGGAATAGAGAGAACAAGAGACTATGACACTGAGGCCCCCAGGGCCAAGCCTGAGGTTTTGCTCAACCCCAGATTCACCTCTGGCAAATGAGGCTTCATGCCCTAGAAGAGGGTGGCAGTGGGTGGGGGAGAGGCCCTGGGAGAGGCCTGAGCAGGTGGCAGGGAAGGGAGCGATCCAAGACCGCCAGGCCAGTCAACAGAAATGAGTAGGAGAAACCGGGTCTGAACAGTGTCAGACAGACACAGGCCCTGTGTGTGCGTGTTATGGGGGCTGAGTGGGGAGCCCCAAAGAACAAGAAGGAAGGGGTGCAGGGAATTCCTAACCCCTCTGTGCCCCCTCAGGACCGGGAGCTGCGGCCAGAGGAGATTGAAGGTAAAGGGTTTGGGAAAGAACTGGAGTTTCTGGAGGGGTGGGTTTGGGGGGTGCACACAGGGGAGGAGGCACTGTGTGGGGGACCTCATCCCCACCTGGGTCTCACCGCATCCTGGGGGCCTCCCAGGAGGAACTAGGAGCAAGAAGGCTGCAGGGGACCCATGCGGGGAGACTGGGCACAAGACTGAGCATGGAGGGGTTCACCAAACCCCCAGCTGTCAGTTGCCTGGTCTCATTTGCCAGGTGGGTCACGGGCCCCTTTTATATTTGTTCATTCAGCACACACCTCCTGGGTGCTCACTGTGTGCCTGGCTCTGTGCTGAGCACTGGGAACGTGGCGAAATGGACAGATAGGGCCAGTGTTCTCTGGAGAGAGACATCAAGAAGTCAACTACAAGAAAAAAAAAAAAAAAGAAGTCAACTACAAGTACACGTGGTGCTAAGTGCTTTCAAGGAAATGAACAAATGGGCTGGAGATGACTGAATTTAGAGGGAGGACTTCCTTGAATAGGTGGCATAAGGACCAAAGAGGAAGGGAGATTATTCCAGAATGTCAGCTCCATGAGGTCAAGGGTTTCCTCCCTTCCTCCCTCCCTCCTTCCCTCCCCCCTCCCTTCTTCCTTCCTTCCTGCCCTTCTTTCCTTCCCTCCTTTCTTACTTCCTCTCCTCTCCCCTCTCTTCTCCTCTCCCCTTCCCTCTCCTCTGCTCTCCTCATGTCTCTCTCTCTCTCTCTCTCTCTCTCTCTCTCTCTCTCTCTCTCTCTCTCTCTC